TGGTGGCGACGGTGGAAGTTGTGGAAGGTGGTGGTTTTGGGGGTGGAGATCAGTTTCTCCGGTAGCAAACTGAAGCAAAGCAGAACCAGTATTCCTCAATGAACGTAAGTACATAGAATGAGAAGCAGAAAAAGCTTGTCTTGATTTTACTAACTGTTTCATATATCTCTTTCGAGCTTTGCATCTTGAAACCAATTCTTCTCTCTCTAATCTTGAATACCAACAACCCATTTTTGATCTAATTTTTCTCCTCTCTTCTCTTCTTCTTCTTCTTCAAAAAAAACACAACTCAAAAAGAGAAAAGCTTAGCTAAACCAAGCCTCACTTTAACCTTTTCTCCTTTCTTGAATTATCAACCATGTTCCATGTGTGTTGTACTCCAAAGACTGACACACCAATTTCAGACCAAAAAGAATAAATAAAAAAAAAAGTACTCTTCTTTTCTTTTTGCTTACTCAGACAGATCAAAAATTGAATCTTTACACCAGCTATCCTCAATTTGAGAACACCAACAAAATCACCATTTCAATGGGGAATGTATGAGAGAGAGAAGGGGAGGAACATAAATTTGGAATTGTACAGAGGCAATAGGTGTTGGACAGAGTGCCATTTTTTTTTAAATTTATAATCCTAAAACAGAGCCAAAATGCCCTATTTTGTGTTATTTACCAAATAAGACATTCTGTTGTCAAATGCATGAAATCTTGCAAGCTGCAAAGCATGATCTGTTTGAGGAAGTGATGGGTAGTTTGGTAATATAAATATTTCAACGGACACGAGTCAATTTATAAGGTAATAAATTGAGTTTAAATTCCAGAGGGGAGGGGGGTTGGGTCATGACTCATGAATGGGATGATAGTGCATCGGTTACGAGGTCAATCTGGCTAAGGATTAACAACCCATAGTAATCTTATGGTCTCCTTGTGTTTATTTTTACTTTGACATATTTATTAAAGAAATAAAATAATTTATATAGCTATTTTATTATAGTACTATTTTTATTAATTGATATTTAATATTAAGTGAAAAATAATTTAGAAAATAATAATTAATATTAAAGGTAAAATATGAAGGAATTTTTTTTAATATATTAAAAATAAGAAAAAAAATTTAAATTGATGGACAACTAAAAATAAAAAAGGAATATCTTTCTCAATGGCTTTTTTTTATTTGATTAGAATTAGAATTAATCATGTTACAAATGGCAAGCAATAGTGCAGCCTAGGGAGTGGAACACCTCTTCATATTTTGAAACCAAGTTGGTTGGAATACAGGGGGTTAAATTGGCGATTGAGTTAAATTTTGAATGGTTAAAGATTACTTCTTCCGTCTAATAATAGCTGTCCATTATACTAAAAAATAGTTATCTAACAATACTTGTTCAATTTAAAAAATTAAGAAATAATTTATTTTTTATGTCTATTTTGCACTTGCTATTAAATATTATTTATCATCTAACACATTTTTCAAAACACTAAATTTAATAAAGTCAAAGGATAATATAATAATATTATCTCTGATATTTATTATTTTTTAAAGGAGTGTATCAAGTTAATAATAGACAACTATTATTGGACAGAAAAAACATTTAGTTATTAGGAAGTACTATAGTTATTTACTCCCTTCGTCCGAAACGGGAAAAGAAAAGAGTAATTAACATTTACCTCACTAATATTTTTTCCAGTTTTCTACATTTTTTCTTCTTTACATTTACTTCACTATTTTTTCTCTCTCTCAGTTTTCGACATTTTCGAAAGAGCAGGACCTTTTAGAAGAGAGACTAGAAACTACTATTTCATCATATTTTAATAAATTTTTAACATGTACACAAAATTTTAAATTAAAACTACTAAATTCAAATGAACCCACAACTTCTATAGCCACTTAATACTAGACTAGAAATGAATGAATAAAAAAGATCATTAAAAATTACTCTACTAGACACTAGAAATAAATAAATAAAAAAGATCATTATTTAAAAGTACATAGTAATTAGTAAGTTGCATCGGTATCATATTGGTAAAAAAAACAATAAGAAATATCCAATTGTAAAAATTAGTCGACGTTCCGTCTTATATTAGTGATCTATTTTAATTTAATTAATTTTTTAAATATCATCCTTTGCAATTAATTCTTTTTGAAAGTGCCATATTTATTTATAAAAATTTTAAGAAGTTTTTTAAAAAGTAAATTAAAATTATTTTTAATCTATCAAGCATGCATAATGAAAAAGTGATCAATTAGTATAGGAGGAAGAGGAAGGGTATATTTCAAAGTGTATAAGTTACCAGTGGTACTATATTTCTAATCATTTTATTCTTTCTATTGAAATTTGAAAGCATGCAACTCTTGAACAGTTCAACAAAATAATTCACCTTAATTGTCGCAGGAATTAATTAGAAAAAGACAAAATAAATTAAATGAGATAACTTACTCACATATGCTGTTGACGAAAAATTCTTGACTCTTGCTCGAATCTCACTTAAATATAGTAATAAATTAATACTTTTATTAATAATTTATATAAATATCAATTATGAATAAAACATTTTCCTTTTGTATAGTATTCCCTTTTGCCGTTTCGCGGGATAACAGGTGGTTTTCATGATACAATGCGGTGAGAGGATTTAATTAGATGGAAGATTCTGTTTAAATTGTTTTGCTTTTCATAGGGAACTGTGACACTAGAATATAACAATAGGTTAATTACAAATTGCACACGTCACTTTCATGACATTTTTGCCCTCACACAATTCATTTACTGATTATTTTTAAAGAAAAATCTGTAGTCGCTAATATTTTTTGGACGTATAATAAATTAATCTGCTCTTATACAATTGATTATAAGTTAAATAGAGATATAAATCACACTAAACAGATTCAGTGTAAAATATTAATTGCTTCATCAATTCAGTCGTACTACAATTTATCTGCTGGTAAATCTCGAAATTTTAAATAAGGAAAATAGTACTTGTTTTATTTTCCCTTATTTCGTTATTTGAAAAAAGAGAATCTACGTAACTTGCTTTTCTTTTTGTCTTCATCCTTGTCCTATTTTTGTTCTCCTTTCCGATATTTTTACCAGATTAACGTTTCCTTTTCGAAATTGAAAAGTAGCAAATTGTTTCATTTTGTTTTTATTTTGATTTACCATTATCTTTATTAATTAATTTTATTTATTTTTTATTCTCTGACAAACAAGAGAAAGCAAAGTACTTTTCCTTTTTTTCTTCCTTATAATAATGGTAATTTTGTCTCTAGGCCCACTACTTTAAACTAATTTCACTCATAAAAAGTTGCTGCAAAAAAAGTGAAAATATACTATTGCAACATTTCATCTTATAGGAGAATTGTGCGGTGACTGCACTATTAAATTAAATTAGAGTACCATTATTCACTTTTTCATATTTATTTTAATTTGTGTATTTGAAATGAGGATCTTTTAATTTTTTTTATAAGATCGATATATATTTTACGTTCCTCATATTTTATCTATAAAATTATACTAAATATTAACCACTTTTACTTAATTCGTCACATGCAATACAAAAGACCACTATGTTTCTCTTGGATATACATAGCCAATCGCCTACTAATTATCGACAATTATTGGCCCAAGATTAAAGTTTATATGTATGTTCAATTTTTAAACGAGGTCATTTAAGTCCAAGCAATCAATTATTTAAAGGGATCGGCCACTCTTTTTTTTTTTTTTTGATTTCCCACTGATTAGATTCGAATTTGCATTGAAAAATCCCTTGGAAGTAAAGCATTCCCTAATAAAAGTGACTCCGTATTCAAAAGGACTCGAATCTGAGACCTCTTGATTAAGAATGAAGGAGTGTTTACCACTCCACCACAACCTTTGTTATTATTTGCCACTCTAGTTAAGCTTACGTTGTGGAGTAGTAGTAATATATTTGGGGAATCATGACTAGGACTGGACGAGATAACACGTGAGGAGACCTGCTGCAGGCAGCAAGTGGTAATCCAATTAATCTATTCATTTATACTAAATTGGAGTAATTAATTTCTATAGTAATAAACTCTTGCCAAGGTATATACAATTAAGATGGTCCACATATGACAAGGATCAACTAAGATTTTGGGATGATTTGTGACTCTTTTTTTTAGAAGGTTCTACTTTGATATTTGCAACATTTGAAATATCTGAGATGTTTCATTCATTTAAAATTAGTAAAAAGCTCTATAATTTCTTTTATATACATGATGTTTGATGATAATGTCAAAAACATTTAATGGATTCAAAATACCACTCTTACTGAGATTGTATTTACCCTCGTTACTTAAAAAACTTTATACTTAGAAATTCTAAGTTAGAATTTTAGAGAAAGTTAATTGAATGTGTTACTTTCAAGTACTCGAGTTAGAATTATATAGAATTGTACCATAGCCTATACAACCATATGTAATTTTGGACACTATATGATTCAAGTTTAATTTTGTCAATCCCAATTTCAAATACTGCATATTTAAAAGGGAAAATTATATAAAATAACAAATTAAATGTTGCAATCACAATTTCATTTAATTCTAATATGTAGCAAAAACTTGCCATTTGCCTCTCTCCTCAGAAATTTCGTTCGCCATTCTCCGTGATCTCGCTCGCCTCTCTCACTTTTATAAAAACTCAAATGTATAAATTGTGTTTGTGTTTGTACAATGCGAGAGAAAACTATATATACAAATACAAATACATATATTTTCATCCTATACACTTATAATTATACAAATACAGATCTTCCCCAACCAGTTCTCTTTTGCCTCGCTTTATACAAACACAAATTACACAAATTACAATGTATAATTTGTGTTGTATAAAGCGAGAGAGATTCGATATACAAATATTTTATTTCGATTCAATTGTATACAAATTCAAAGTTTTATGCAAATATACAAACACAATCATAAATACATATACATAGTAGTTACATATATACAATTATCTAACCGATATATATATATATATATAATCGCTGCGCTTTTATACAAACGAATGCCTGTCTGCGATTTATACAAATTCGATGCTCTATAGCAAACATAAACTTTGCTATGGAGCGCAATTATACAAACTATAACATACAAATATGATTTTTATGTTTGTTAAACCTAAAATTTACGCTATTTAAAATAGGAAAAATTATATAAAATAACAAACTATTAATTCAAAATAAATGTTATAACCACAGTTTCATTTAATTCTAATCTGTATATGATTTTTATGTTTGTTAAACCTAAAATTTACGCTATTTAAAATAGGAAAAATTATATAAAATAACAAACTATTAATTCAAAATAAATGTTATAACCACAGTTTCATTTAATTCTAATCTGTACTCGCCTCTCTCCCCAGAAATCTCGCTCGCCACTCTCCCTGATCCCGCTCGCCACTCTCCCTCACCTCTCACTTTATACAAACACAAATGTATAAATTGTGTTTGTATTTGTATAAAGCGAGAGAAAGCTGTATATACAAATACAAATACATATATCTTCGTCCTATGCACTTATAATTATACAATACAAATCTTTCCCTGCCCAATTTTCTTTTGTCATTCTCTCTTTCTCGCTTTTTACAAACACAAATTATACAAAATAC